TTGGACTATTAAGTTTAATAACTTGACTCGTGGGTACCTAAATGTTTAGTATTTTAATATTAATTTAATGCAAATGTATATATACCCAATAATATTAAACAGAAAAAATAAATATATTCAATAAAAATCTTTGTTTTAATGAATGTACAATGTCGCGGCTCAGTAAATATGTCAATACTGAAATGAAAATCAGTCTAGCATAGGGAAAATTGGGGAATTATACTGCAAAATAGCAAATTGCACAGCAGCATTAATGTGAATCGGTGTAAATTGAGCCGGCGTAAACCAAGGGCTACCTGTATTGCACTCACTTTTTACTCACTTTTTCTGTATTTCAACTCACTTTTCTCACTTTTTCAGAGGGGAAATGGCACTCCCAGGCCTGCATACCCTAAACCTATGAAATACAGTCAAACTTAGTTAATTCACAGTTCAAAGGGAATGCAAAATAGTTCAAATTAAACAATTTCATTGATAATTATTAAGTAATACTAATAAAATATCATTTGGTTGTCACAGTTTCTTGTTAAGCTTATAATTCATACTAAGAGTGAATTGCTGATGAAAACAAAACAAACAAAAAAAAAACACAGCAAATAACACATCAATATGATGTCGTTTTCTGTAAATTTTACCATTTTGCAAATCGCTCAGACATTTGGAATTGTCAAAATTTTTCACTAACAAAAAAACTTATCCACTTATCACAGTGCTGTTTATTGTCAAGTGTTTCTAGTGATTTTTAAGATGGTTACAAAATCATCACACAACAAAGTAGACATTAAAATTAGCATGATATTCTTGCAATTTGGTTTTTAAACATTTCTCTTGCCCAACATCTTTTCTTTTGTAACACATCTTTCATTTTTTGTAACAAATATGATTAAAAACAGAATGTCAAAAGTGTGTTTTTTTTTTTTTACTGATGCCATTCCGCTCTTGCTTATAAATGTTTGCATGCTCAAAATTTGCTATTGCTTTTTGCATTTGTTTGTCACTATTTGCAGTTTGAACTAAGTTACTCCAGTTTCAAATTTTCAAACTAGTAATTTTTACATTACATTTATTAGGACACTCGACAGGAATTTGTAGAATTCAAGTTAACAAAGTTCAACTGTATATTTCATATGACAATGCAAAATTAATCTTTTGGCTAGAAGTTTCCAAAAGTTAATCCAGTGTATTATTTAGTTATTAGAATAATTTGGACATAGTTGTCTGTGTGGAAATATATTTCATAAACTCTCATATTAATTCCATTTAATTTCTAATGTATATGAATTTGATAATACATACATACAACCCAATTCAATTACTAATACTAAATGAACTGCTAGATTATTTATCGGACTGTAACAAGGCTCATTTTATCATTAGATATAAACCAACTTAACTACAGTAGAGAGTTGTTTATCTGAATCAATTGGGGACTGGGATTGTTCAGATAACTTATTTTTCGGATAACCGATTATGTACAAAAAAATATATTAACCTATCCTGTGACGAAATTTTTCTCCATTGTGTGTCGCTTTGCCTTGAATTTTCGTTGATGTTAAGCCTAATGTAAATTTTTTAAAATAGTAATCGTGGCTATTGTATCATTAAAAATTATTTTGTTATTTTTTATAAACAAAATAAATACATTGAAAAATATTTTAAAAAAAATTATAATTTAGAAGTTAATCTAGTATCAAAAACGTTTGATTCAGCATGAAACAGTCCTCAGGAAAACACCACACAAAAGTGCCAATGCTGCCAGCTAAAACACACTCATTAACAAAAAAAATATTAGAGTAGCTCAAGATATAGCCAAAGATTGCAGCGCCACAGCACTAGCGAAAATTTAAATTTGCCGACTGGAATTCTTTCGGATAACTAACGTTTCGGATAAATGATGCTCTACTGTATAAGTAGGCTGTTATCTGACGATAAATTTATAATAATATATGAGTAATTAAAATAAATTTATTGTAAAAAATCTGAAAGTTTTATTTATTTTTTCAAACGTTAACTTACTTACTAAATAAACTAACCTACCATAACCTAGGATGAACCTAACCAGATGACTAAAGTTAACAAACTCTAATCTAATTTAACCTAACCTATCATAACCTAACTGGAAACCAAGCTGAGTCCCTAATCTAACTTACAATTAGGACTAACCAAATTTAGACTGAAAAGTAAGACAGAAAATAAGAATTAAAATACAAAGTTGAAAGGCAGCTATATACCAACAGTTGAAACAAAGCAAGGAAAAGCTAATTGCCATCCATGCCCCAGAATGAGTGCTCTCAAGAACCCCACTAAGGGATATGAACACGATTAGATGATGGAATATTGTATATGTGTGAATGAGTTGGTGCGGGTTGCAAGGCTAGTTGTATCCTTCAAGAATAGCAGTTCTCATTAAACTATCCCTAATATGATTGTACCTATTGCAGCAAAAAACTAAGTGAAGTGGCATTTGGTCCTCCCAAACAGCCGTAACTAGGGTATGGCCAATGGTCCCGCCATAGGCGCCGATTTAATAAAGACGCCAATGAGAAGGTTTCGAAATAATATGTATTTGAAATTAATAACACAAAAAAAAATTTATATTTATATTTATATAGTATTTAAATGTCATTAGATAATTTTTTTTATAATAGCATTTTTTTTAGAATAAAATTGTTTTTTTTTAACCCTGGGGTAATGCAGTGGGGTGTTTTGCCACCCCCAATGTTTTAAAAGTTGCACTATTCATAGATTTCGCAAGAAATATTTGTGTCCTCTTCAGTAGCTTCATGATTTTATGTATAGAGCATGCTCAGAAATTACTACGATGCTGCAGAAATTCCAGTAAGAGAAAAACAACAGTTCTCAGTGGGGTGTCCAAACACCCCACAGTATTAATTACGTTTTTTTTTAAATTTTACAAATATTTATTTAGTTTTTTTTATTTTAAAAA